CGGAGGACGGGGGGGCCGACAGGCCCCCCACGTCCGGAGACCCTTGTAGATATCAAATAGAGTAGGCCCATGTCGATGTTGCTTCCGGCAATACATCATGATCAGAAGATAAAGATGGCGCTCGNTTCCACACTCAACACTCCCACCCTTGGTATGCAGGCTTACTCCTGCTGTGGAACCAACCAGCATCACCGCACATTTTTTACAGTAAACAGTAACCCGGAGGACGGGGGGGCCGACAGGCCCCCCACGTCCGGAGACCCTTGTAGATATCAAATAGAGTAGGCCCATGTCGATGTTGCTTCCGGCAATACATCATGATCAGAAGATAAAGATGGCGCTCGCACTTAAGAACTTGGCAGTGAAGAAATGCGGCCTCGAAAAATATCAACATCAAAGAAATTGACCACATAATTATACTAACAACACGTGCGTGCTCAGGCCCGACGTGGTGTTGAGACCAAGAACGAACCCGCCTTTCTTTGTGGTGTAAGAACAGAGGCCCCAAAACGCGACAGCTGCAAGTGAATAAGCACTCACTCAGTGAGGGGTGAGGGGTTACTCGCGGGGTGACCGGTGGGCAGTTAGTTGCAGATCAGCGGCTAGGAGGAGGTTCCTTTGAAAATCGTATTGGTGTGGAGATGGGGGGGTGCACTGTTAATATTTTTGCGCGTCTAACGGTAGCCAACTATAAAATCGGGCTTTCAAATGCCGGCACTCTTGAAGCTTTTTTTTTTATTGCCGCGAATGTCCAAAAAATCGCTGTGTCGTGTACTCTGTGGACACCGGCTGGTACATAGTTTTCGCGGCAAGAAGTGGACTTCTCAAGCACAGATGCAAATGTCCCTTAACTGGGTTTGGGCCGGCGTTTCCGAACACTGCCTGACCTCGGAGGTTGCAACGGTGCGCCCGACCGGGTTCCGCAGGTTGTACAACGCCTAGGGGTTACAGGTCACTTTAACCCCCCCGTAACCGTGCCCACTGGCCACCTGTGGAGGAGCAGCAACGCCGCCTCGCGGCGGAAGACGAGATAGCGCAGCTAAAGCAACGANGAAGTGGACTTCTCAAGCACAGATGCAAATGTCCCTTAACTGGGTTTGGGCCGGCGTTTCCGAACACTGCCTGACCTCGGAGGTTGCAACGGTGCGCCCGACCGGGTTCCGCAGGTTGTACAACGCCTAGGGGTTACAGGTCACTTTAACCCCCCCGTAACCGTGCCCACTGGCCACCTGTGGAGGAGCAGCAACGCCGCCTCGCGGCGGAAGACGAGATAGCGCAGCTAAAGCAACGACTCGCGGCTAATCGCTCGAAATCCCCGCCGGCATGTGGGACACCGCGGGAACGCATGCCTGCCCGGCGCCCCTCGGGTGGTAGCAGCCCTCCGGAGGAAAAATGAAATGACCCCAAATTTCCCAACTGCATTGAATTCCACCTCGAAACGGGTACATGCTCCCGCTCGGGTGAACAACCACCTTGTGTTAGAAATTGCAACCGCCGCTGATGTACCGTCAGTATCAGCGATTTTTTGGGGGCAATTGACAAGAGGGGGTGTACCCCGCGTGGTTGGGCACAAAATGGAGTATACTTTATTTCGGTGCCGGGCGCCTTCTAGCGCTTCTGACCCATGCGCCAGGTCCTTCGAAAGGATGCCCATTATTTATTTTGTTTTTCACCCACAGGAACAGGGTTAACTAGGGCCTGGAAGAGGGGAGCATGTCGGAGGACCCCATTTTGTTCACGAAACCGCCGGATACACTCCCCTGTCTGCGAAAAGGTATCTAGTACTCTAATTGTTCACCAAACGTACCCCATACTGTTCAAGGCACACCCCTTTTTGTTCAGTCGTGACGCTCCTATGGACTGTCAAAATGGCAACCAACAACATAACGGCAGACCACCGTAGGTGTGGCGACAGAAGATGTTGGGGTATGGTGGTCTGCAGTGCAGCACACAAACTCCTGCTCGTTCCCCCTCGGCCTGCTCCCCGGCCGGGGCCGAAATCGACCTAGTGAGCCCCTCGTGGGCGAACCCGGCCACAACAGGTAGTAGGCGGGTGGTATCCCAAGGTGCAACTCACCGCCGCGCTGGCTCAGCGTGGCGGTGAGGGTGCACAGACGGTGGTAGTGGCGAGGGTGTGTATCGAGGCTGTTCCCGCGGCAGTAATGCAAAGCGGCAAACTGCACCTGGCAACCACCGTCGCGGAAAGCGTGGCCCACGAAGCTGGAGGAGTAGAGAGATTCGTAAACCACGTCAGTAAGCACCACTCGCGGGAGAAGGGAGACAACCGCGGGCACCGCGGGGAGGGAGTGCTGCACCCTCCTCGTCAAAACACCACAGGCAAGAACCGAGCTCTGCAGAGATGGATTGATGCGAGGAAACTCGCCGCTCGGAAAAGACGGAAGAAAGCACACCCGCAACGCGAGGTGGACCGAGAGAGACACGAGACCGCAGCGGCCGTCAAGGCAGCTGCGAAGAAGAAGGCACGAGAGGGCGACCTATCGTTCGGCACGTTCAGCGTACGCACCCTCGTCTACAGCGGTAGGAACCCTATCGGTCACAACGTGATGAAGGTCATGCAGATTTCATCCGCGACCGGCTGTGATGTGATAGGACTTCAGGAGACCCGACGAGAGGGGCAAGGTTCAATTGCACACGACGGGTACGTGATCATCTGGAGTGGCGCCCGTGCTGGCACCAAGGACAAGAGGGGCGAACAAGGTGTGGGCATAGCGATCAAAGAGGCCATGTGGGAGACTGTGGGCGAGGAAGGTAGAAAGGTCGAGTGCATTAGCCCGAGGCTGATGAAGGTGCGTCTACAAATTGGCCGCACCTGCGGAGTAACTTTCGTGGTGGGGTACGCCCCCACGGAAACTGTCCGCATCACCGCGGGCGGTGATGTTAACGCCAAGGACTCCTTCTGGACTGCTCTCGACGCAGCGATCCGGGAGGTTCACAGCCGTGACCATCTCGTGGTGCTTATGGACGCCAACGCACGCACTGGTAGGAGGCGAGACGGGTGCTGCGATGCCAAGATTATGGGCGCGTACGGACGCGACATTATGAACAACAACGGGGAACGACTCCTTGGACTGGCGTCAGACAACCAACTCTCCCTGACCAACACCTACTTCCGGACACCGAAAGGTGGAGTGCAGCACACATTCCAGTGCTCCAACAAGGGGAAGGAGAAGTACCGCCTAGACTTCATCCTCATGCGTCAGACGGACCGGCGTTTCGTGCGCAATGTCTCCGTCAAACGTGTCGACTTCAAAGACTCTGACCACAACCTCGTGCTTACGACCGTCCGCCTCCGCCCCCGTGTCGCACCCAACCGACGAGTGCGGGGGAACAACAGAAGCAGCCGGATCCGTATCGACCTCGAGCGGTTGAGGAAGGACAAACACCTACGGGTCGCCTTCCAAAACAGGGCCTCCAGCCGCCCTCCGCCCACGGCGCTCAGGCGGCCAACGGGAGAGACCGCCGCCGAGCTGACGGCTACGGTGATGTCGGCCGCTGCTGAGACCGCGCCGCTGGCGAGGTGCGCACGAGGGCAGAGAGGCTGGTACACGAGCTAAGCGCAGCACGAGATCTCTGAAGCGTCGAAGGAGATTAAGGCGGCCCAGCAGCAACTGCGCGGGGCCTCAAAGAACAGCGCCTGCGAGGCGACCCTGAAGGCGATGCTCAAGGCGGCGCGGAAGAAGCGCAGCATCGCGAGGTGGAGAGCACTGGAAACGTTCTTCGAGGGCTATGTACGGCAGCTCGAGAAGAAGAGCCGCGAGGGGGATCAGGCGGGTTTCTACAGGCACCTGAAGATGATCGACGTCGAAGGTAAGAGGTCGTTCACCTCTCAGAACATCAAGGACGAGGACGGCAAGGTCCTTCGGGACCCGACGTTTATTCGCCAACGGTGGGCACGGTGGTTCCACAAGCTTCTCAACACCAAGTCGCCGACCATCGACCTGCATGCGGCTGACAAGGTCAAGCGGTGGCCCACGTGCGTGCCACTCGACGACATCCCATCTCTACTTGAGGTTGAGGAAGCGGTACGGGAAATGGCCAACAGAAAGGCCGTCGGGCCGGACGACCTACCGGCTGAGCTGATCAAGCTTTTCCTGGACGGAGATCAAGGTCTCCTCCGCGAATTCCACGCCATTGTCGTGGACGTGTGGCAGACTGGGGACGTACCACAGCAGTGGAAGGATGCCACCATCAAAGTGCTGTTCAAGAAAGGGGACACGATGGAGTGCGGCAACTACCGGGGCATCTCGCTCGTCGCACACGCCGGCAAGGTGCTGCTTAAGGTCGTGGCTACACGACTGAGCCACTACTGAGAGCGAGAGGGCATCCCCCCGGAGGAGCAGAGCGGTTTCCGCCCACACCGGTCGACGCTCGACATGCTGTTCGCCATCCAGCGGCTCCATGAGCTCGTGAGGAAGAAGAGCACTGCGGTGTTCGCGTGCTTCGTCGACCTCACCAAGGCATACGATTCGGTGGACCGAGACCTACTGTGGGACGTGCTCCGACGCTTCGGCGTGCCCCCGAAGATGCTGGCGGTCATTCGCCACTTCCACGAGGGCATTGGGGCGTGCGTCCGAACGGACGACGGGCAGTACTCGGAATGGTCCGACGTGGGCCAAGGCCTCCGACAGGGATGCAACCTGGTCCCGCTGCTGTTCAACTCCTTCTTTGCCGCGATGCTCATGATCGCCGTGGCCGAGTTCGACAAGGACCCCAAGGTGACGGCGGACATGGTCAAGATCGGGACACAAGTGGAGTACACGGGCAAGAAGGGCAGGTCGGCGGAGAAGAAGAGGACGGTGGTGATGAGCGTGCATTACTAGACCCGTGAGATCTTGTGGCAATACCAGCTGATCACTGAACGTGCTATGTTTGCGGATGTGTCCAGGCAAGTACGACTTAAACAGTAATATGTCCTGTACTGAGTAGTATGGCATTGTCGTTGCTGTTTCTCTGTCTGGGAGAGGTGCGTTTTCGTGAAGGATGTAGTCGATGTACTCCTTGTATTTTTTACGTTGTTTCTCGCGTAGCAGCTGAAATACCCGTGTAGTGCTTACAGTGAACAACTCCCTATCGCTGCGGACAGGTTGGACGTCGTTTAGGTCATCTGCTGACACTTGGTAAGGTCTGTTAGGCATGGCGGTTTGGAGCTTTGGATCATCTGGTACGTTGCGACAAATCGGAGCAAGAGGTGGTACCTCGCGTGCTTGTTCATTTTTCCAAAAGGAAAAGACGCGATAACGTGTCGGGTACAACATTTAGTTTCCCCGGTTTATGCTGAACGCTGAAGTCAAAGCATTGCAGTGCAATTGCCCAGCGTGTAAGCATATTTGACGTATCTTGCATCACCTTAGCGCTGCGTGGTCAGTGACGCACGTAAAGTGTCGACCCCATAGGTATGGCCTCCAATGTTGACTTGCCAATACTACAGCGTAACACTCCTTCATGGTTACGGAATAGTGTCGTCGGCTTTTGTTGAATCTCTGGCTAAAGTAAGCAATGATATTCAGGTCTTCACCATTCTTCTGGGCTAGGAAGGCTCCTGCACCAGTTTCAGATGCATCGACATAAATGACGAATTCCTTCGAGGAATCCGGGAAATGCAAGACAGGTGCTTTCGTAAGCAGATACTTTATTTCGGCAAATGCCTTATCATGTTCCAGACCCCAGCGTTTCGAGACCGATTTGACCGCTATCTTTTTCGTGAGGTCAACCAAGGGCGCGGTGATGGCGGCTAGGTTCGTATAAATTTCCTGACATAGTTCACCATACCTAACACTGAACGTAGTTCTTTGATGTTCGTGGGTGTAGGAAAATCTAGAATGGCTTTGATCCGATCCTCACCAAGGCGTATCCCATCGGCAGATAGGATGTGTCCCAAGTATTCCACCTCTTTGGGTCCGAATTGTACCTTTGAAGGTTGCAAGGTGAGCCCTGCTGCCTGCAAAGCCGTGAAAGTGTTTTCCAACAAAGACAAATGACTTTCCCATGTTGAGAGAATAAAAATGGTGCATTGGTGATTCCGAAGGGAAGGCGTTTAAAGACCAATTTTCCATTCCGTGTTACAAAGGCGGTTTTGTCTTGCTCTGCTTTATCAGTGATGGGTAGCTGGTGGTATGCGCTCTGAACGTCACAGACAGTGATGTATTTCGCACCTGCAACGGTGTCAATGTGGCTAGCCATTTCCGGCATGGGCCATGATTTTCGGATTAGGTTTTTTGTTGACCGTGGTCCGGTAGTCCACACAAAACCGGGGTGTACCATCAGCTTTGGCTACCAGCGTTACTGCGGAACCCCAGGGGCTCGCTCTTGTTCAACGATCCCTGCCTACTCCATATCGTGCACAAACTTGTCAATTACCTGTTAAACACGCGGATTCGCGCGGTAAGGAACTCTGTTAACAGCGCGTGTACCCGGTTCTAGGGGAAAGTCGGCTTCTGTGAGAGTGCATTTACCTAGCTCACGGGACTTAGTGAGAAGACGGAACGGTAGCGTGTACATAGTTGTAACACTTGCTCACGTTGTTCCTCGGAGAAGGTGGTTGAGCGAAAGCTTTCGTGAGAGCCTTTTCCAAGTCTTTGCGGTGTTTCGCGGCTTCGTCAGGGCTCGATTGTACACTACATATTGATGGTCGGTGCCTCGCATGTCGCCGCGCTGATCGGCGCGTCCAAGGGGACGGTCTAGCGTCTTCTGGCAGATGGTGGATGCCATCAACAGCACAACAGAGGTTAGGACCGTTCTCTTTCCCGCAGAGCGAGGATGATGAGTGCACCCACCCGACAGGCGGAACAACAACAGGAGGAACGCCATTGGTACATGGGATTAGGAACAAGGGCAATGGGCGAGCGGTCTTAAACTCCGTACCCTGGGAAGGGACTGCCTCTCGACAAAGACGCGTACAAGTTTGATCGAGCAAGCGTTCGGCCTATTCGTCGGAGATAACGGGAGATTCTGTGGAAGCCGTTGCGGCTTCAGTTGGTTGGGCGCTGCGACCTAATCACCGCGCCAAAATCCAGCTGTCGGTAGAAGACTCAGAGGCGGTCCAGATACGCCCTCCCTGGAGGACGACAGGACCTTGCTGGGAACGCTCAACACGACCTGCAAAAGCCGACTACGTAGTTCAGGCTACGTCTCTACGCGCACGGCGACCACGATGACGGTGCTGCCTGTACCCCCCAAAAACACGTCAGTGGGCGACGCGGCCAAGGAGACATGAAGGATCTGATGCGCGCGTGCTGCGGTGGGGCGTTTAGGGGGGGGCACGAAGACGTACAGCAGGGTATCTGGAGAATGGACGAGACGAGATGTTGTTGTTGTTTCTCACATTAGCTCTAGAAAAGAAAGATTGGGAGCCCGTGGTCTCAAAACCCGGCATACACGACCCCACGAAGAAACAGAAAAAAATAGGGTACAAAAACCACTCGGAAGAGAAACAAAATGATAGAAAGAAAGACCAGCTACCGCACCAAACGAGAAAGAGCGTCGAGGAGACCGATCAAAATAAAATAAAAGGAGAACGGGGAACGCTTCCCACACCCGCCTACAACGCCGGAGGGTTCCGTGCCGGGTTCCCGCCGACCAGGAATCCCCCGCCCTGCACCACACCCCAGGGGTTGCAGCAAGACGGGGGGCGAAAAACAAACACATATATATTCCCACAAAAAAAATAAAAAATCGAAGGACAACGTACACCAGTACCAGGTACTACAGCAGTGCAGTATGCACCAGCGCATTAGTGTAGGGTAGGCACCGCACCAAAGAGGCAGCAGAGGTGGCAGGCAGCCAGCAAAGGAAAAAACAAAAATAACAAGGAGCTCGAGGTATCGTCCAAGATCATCGTAGAGAGGGCATGGAGAACAAGAAAGAAAGAAAGAAGAAAAGCACAAAGAGAGGCCGGAGGCAATACTAAGAGCATACAGCTTACGGCAGGGAAAAGGGAACACAGGGTGCGACAACATCATCAGTTGGGTACGTCGTTCGCCGCAAGCGCGGCCTTGGCCGCCCTACTCGCTTCTACAGCAGTGTCCGGTCGCCGTTTCTTCCCCCCCCCCGCCGCTTCCCCGATTCTCTTTCTCTTCGGGCCCGGGGCGGCCGTGCTCTCCGTCTCTGCTTCCTCCGCGCGCTGGCGCTGGCGCTTCGCGGATGCTTCCGCCTCCTGTCTGTGCCATTTCCTCATGAACCATGCCGCCCCGTCCTCGATCTTGTCGTACCACGCCTCCTGGTCCTTGGCGCTCTCTTTCCATCTCCCCCCCTCCTTCTCCTCTTTCATGCCAAACGCCACGAGGTCCTCTCCTAGGCGATACACCCAGTCGCTCTCCTGCCCGCCCCGGTATCCGGTACCCCCCGCCATCGCTCCCAGCAGCATGCGCTTGGGGAGGCGGTTGTCCTCCATGCGCATAACGAAGCCCGCAAAACACAGCCTCCGTTTGCGCACGGTGGCCTCGATGGTTTCCTCGCAGCCGGCCTGGATGGGCTTCGAGGAGCTCGAGCTGGCGCCGGGGCATGTGGTGTGTGAGCAATGATGGTGGTGGATATAATGCGTTTGGCGGGGCGTGGGGCAGGAGGGGGGGGGGGGGGGTACTCATAGTCGTGCATGCCGTAGTCGTTAGACCATTGACCTCGCATCCCTACAAAGCCGGGACGGAGCACGCCGGGTTCTCACCGGACCAGGCTCTCACATCACCAAGCGCGAAGCGCCGTGAGATATTCGGCGAGTCGCATGAAGGGTGCGCTACATCCTGCTAAGGGTTTTCGGCATCTTGTGCTTACTTTCTTGCGTACGGATGACAGCCGCGCATGACTTAATTTATTTTCTGGTGCTTTCACTTCCAGAGACAGTAATACGCACTGTGTAACTGCCTCGAGGATGCTTGACCAATTAAACACAACGTGGTGCGATCATCCCCCTTGCGCGGAGTGAGGGTTCTCGACCCCACACAACATGATCTACTCGACCATCATTGTGGTTACCGCAAAAAAAACAGAGGTTACAAAAAATGGTATCCTGCTTGCCGAGTTTACGAAGTGAATTGGCTTGTTTGACAACGTCATTGTCAAGCGACGAAAACCCAATCCCGATGGCAAACACCGAAGGGAGGGAGGGGGGGCATATACTTATGTTTTGCATGCCTTAGCGGTTAGACCATTGACCAAGCGTCCTCG